TGACAATCAAACGTCAAATAAATGCGCGAAAACAAAAGCTTCTTTCTCGAGCTGTCTAGCATATATCACATGTTTTTAATTTTGCTAAGTGTGATGAGCATCCTTTGACAAATTAACGGCAAGGAAATTGCCCGAAAACGAACATTTTTTCTCGAACTATCTAACGTATGCGTGTTGTATGCTGAGCTGCAGCACACCAGCTGTAGCACAAGTTTCTCATGCTGTAACCGCACGGTGGAGACTGTGGCAACGAACGAACACCCCAGTATTGATAACCTAAAATTTGTGACAAATGTAAGACATGTGAGCATGCACCCACCTTCCACCCGCTGCATTAGCATACAAGCTCAGAACTTTCCACACGCCATGCAACTGGTTGTTTTCGCAGGTAGGTGTCACAGCGTCAATGTACCATATTTGTCAGTGTGTTAACACTGTAGCTTTTACATCTGACCTTAGGTCAACGTAATTTGCTCACTCAACTGCTGTGTTGCCTATGAAAGCAACTCAGAGATGCATGGCTTCGTCTAACACTCCGTTGTTAGATCAGATTGAGAGATTGCCTAGAAATTGCCTTCGCTGAAACCATGGCCCGAATTTGACCTGCCATAGGCCCTTACAAGGTGCACTTAAATTTTTGACGGCAAACGAGCCGCTATTTAATTGTCTACAGTTATGTAAAATTTGCCACGCTACGCCGCTCGGAAATCATTCTGGAAAAACCTTCGACGGGGTCTATTTGACCTTCCCCCCCCCCCCCCCACCCGAGCGCGTGTTAAAGTGAGCAACGTGAACTGATCATGGCTGACGAATCTAATACACAGCCAAAAGGCATAATGAGACGCGTAACGAGGGTCCAATGACGGACACATATAGCAAAATAACGAGGACGTACAATAACATAACGAGCACATTTGTGTGCCTCCTCTAACCTCAGGTCACCCATCGACCTTGCGCCCTCAAAGCGCCGAAATGTCCAGCACCTCTCAAAACCATATGTCAGATTCGGTGGCGAAATTTGCCTGAAGTGCATGGACTGTTTCTGTTGTGCCTTTACCATTTGCAATGCAGCCAGGCTGTACCGCAGGATTGGCGCTGGCTTCTTACGTTTCGAGCAAACTCGGTTTTTATGACCACCGTATGGATCCGCGCAGTAATGTTAAGTACTGAAAACTGGAAAACCCCTCCAACTCAATTTACAGTGAGCACGTCTGTGAATCTGGAACATTTCCAAAGAGCTCGGTTTGATCTCCAGATGGGCTTGCGCAATGTCTTTCGCAGCAACGTGTTCCAATGCTGTGGCCAAGGCTGATGACCGGTTTCGTAGAATGACAGTATGGTTGGTATCCGATCTTACATGTTGTCAAATGTTGTCTTCGAATGGTTTCACAACGCAAGATCCCCGAATTAGCACATCACGAGATGACGTACGCTGACCCTGTCTACCTCAGGTACACCTTCGGCCAGCCACTGATCGAAGCCACTGTGACGGTGAACGTGACTGGAGGATTCGGCTTGGAATACGTCAGTGACACTCTCACGGTGAGTCGATCGCAGGCCAGGGCCGTGCCACTCTAAGTGTCAGTGACACTCTCACGTTGAGTCGATCGCAGGCCAGGGCCGTGCCACTCAAGCGTCAGTGACACTTTAACATGGTGTCAGAGTTACGGGATTCAGACCGTGGCGTCTTGGACAGTGTCATGAACACGTCGCCGGGGACAGACAGGAGGTAGCTCTAATTAGCCTGGTCAAGAAACAAATATATAATAACTGGCGCGGTATGCATTGTTGCTGGATGCTGTCCCAGACTTAAAAATGTGTCAAATTTTGGCCTAAGACCCATTCGCACGAAAAAGTACTACACGGAGGAAAACAAGAACACATAAAAACGAACCATAGGACCTTTTCGTTTTTGGAAAGATGAGAACCACAATAAAATATGTGCCGTAATCTAACGTTCACCGGCCACGGCACTATGGACACATTGCTGCAGATTTCATCCTGTCAACTACCTTGGTTATTATTTTACAGAGGCTTCCCATCGACGGGATTTTTGTGAGAAAAAAAACTGGAAACGTTCGGCGCCTGACTGCCGCGATTACCGTCCTATGACAACCTATCTCCTCCGCCGTCACGTGTCAAACATGTGTCGAACACGTGTCAAACACGTGACCACCGCATCGGTCAGCGTTTTGCGCACCAAGCGTGCAGTCCTGTGCGGGTGTTTACATACGATGCACGCTAGCATGTTTCTTCGTTACAGACGGACGAGACGGGCTGCGCATCCTCGGATCTGATTGTGGGTGACCTGTTCCAAGAGTTTGACCCTCCACGTGTAAGTAAATCTCGTACAGTTGGGCTACTTTGGGACCGTGATAGTCAAGGAACAAAACCCCGACAAAAATGCGTGGCCCGTGAGTCAGTGACGTGTAGAAGTGCGATTTTCTTTCCTTAATCTGTAGGTCGCATTGAATGATGATAATGACGCTTCTATCATTATATATATATATATATATATATATATATATATACATATATATACATATAGGTGTACTACCGTTGACCACTGAAAATATCAGCGGTTACTCGATCTTGCGTATTAAGCGCTTGCCTTCTGAGCTGTGCTTGTTAAGAGCAAACGCAAATCTCATTGCGAGAAAAATCCAAGCGAATCACGCTCCTGACTCGTTTATTATCTTTCGTCGACTTTTCGTTAATCTTTAAGCATTCTCATGATATATAGCTTGCAATCACACTTATCACACAGAATGATGTTGGGCAAGACCAAGCATGGCTTTCGGTTGATTGATGAAACTACAGGTTAGCTGAATATACACACTGTAGTTTTGAGGCTAAGGCCAAAACGCCAGCGTAATTCCTTTCATTTTTCACGGACATGAATGACGTGCTAGGTATCCACAGATAATGACTTCAAAGGAAAAAAATTACTCATAGAAGCTCATGTCCAACAGCGAAATCGGCTCACACCGAAACTGTTTTACTCAGGTACGCTTTCTTGGCATATAAGGTCTTATACTGGGTCCCTACTTGGTCCCTTCGTGAGAGACTAGAGTTCCCCGCGTGGACTCGTCTGCTGATAGCTGGGTACATGTCGCGTATGTACATGTCGCTTATGTACATGTCGCGTATGTTTACGGCCTCGGGCGCATCTAGCCGTCGCACGGCATCTGTCTACGCTAGTGGTGGTATGTACCAGTTATTGTCTGGCGAGTCGCTGGTCAAAGTGGGATTTTGCATGTGTTTTTGGGCAGGTAGTGGTGGCATCTACCATTTTTGTCCGGTGAGTCGCTGTTCATAGTGGGATTTTGCACGTGCTTTTTGGCCGCTGTTAATTATGTGCATTGTGATGCGTCCGCTGAGTGGGCTGGTCACTAACCCAACATAGTTATGTACAGTTCGAAGCGGACAGCCTCTGAGAGGGCACTTGTAACTGTATATTACACTGGATTGTTTCAGTAGAGATATCTCATCAGTCGGGCTCGTTTTGATGAGCACGGAACGTGCATGTCGCTAAAAGAAAATGAGTGTCCAGGAGGTCCCCTGGGTACGCTGGCCTACAGCGTCTTATCACGATTGATGAGATTATTTTTTAATCGCCGTTGGCCCATCTACCAGCTTCCCTGTAAAAGCGCTGGCGTAGGATAGAACTGATCAAAAGTTGAGAGGACAACGGCAGCGTTGGCTTGTTTAGCCCGTGTGACATACGTCTCCGGCCATCCAGCAGTTGTCTGGGTGTCTGTTGCTCTGGCAACATCTCAGCCTAGCGGCAGTAATCCTAGACGCGCGGTCTGGCACATCTCAAACACAAATACCTTCAGGGCTGAGGTGTCCAACCTGACATTTTGCTATCCTCAGAAGCCGTGCTGTGCCACGTAAACAAGTGTGCATCAACGACGGGCTATTTAGACTACAGCTATCTACATTAAAGTGTTCTGTACGACCTGCTGGATGGTTTAGATGGAGTGTGCAGTTGCTGGACGCAAAAATCGTTGGATTGGACGATGTATTGGATACAGTTTGTAGTTGGTGCGTATTTTTTTACATGGTACGTGTGCATTTTACTCTGTTCGCTTACTAACTTTTCTGTGATCTGCTCGGCTCAAGGCCACCATTAACGTCACTGTGGAGGAGTTCGGCACGGGTCTCAGCCAATCAGAGACGAGTTCACTGCCCAAGAGACGTCAGATCCGCCTCAGCCTCCGTTCCAGACAACACGCAGCTGTTCATCAAGCCCGGCCTGCCCTACTACGGCCGGGTCAGTTCGTATTTGTGTGTTTGTACGAAGCTGCGCTGACGAAGAACAGGAGTCTTGCTGCCACGGCCTCGGTTGACTGGTGTTCATGGCTGGCTGGCGTCGTGTTGTTTGCGTGGGCGTGGTGCAGATGTTTGTCCTTGAAATGGGTCATGCCGAGTTGCTCAGACGAGCAGAAAGTTGTGTTGCCTCGCTGTCGGGTGCAGAGAAGCCAGGACTCATGTGGCTTGTATTTCGGCGGCGTAAGCAATGATTGCATATGTATATGGTAATGTATGCACATGACCTTTCGCAGTTTACATTAAATCGAGTAGTGGAAGGAGTTTTGATTATCATCAGTGTATCTTGGGAAGGTGAAGTTCGTTACTGTGCATGACCCATCTCCACGATGTACGTAAAAACACCATGCTCTGCTCACTACATGGGATATATGACATTCCCTTGTCGTGGAATAATGGCTCTGCGAGCTTTTCGTAACCGTTTTTATTTAATACGTCACGTGATATATCTCAGAACACGGCATGGCAGCACGTAGCATCCATCCAGTATTGCAATATTACCTATTAAGCATGCTCGCATTCTTCCAGCTCCACATCAAAGACCGTGATGGTTTGCCTTTCGCCAATAAGATCGTGGAGGTCTGCTTCGGGGCCATCCATAAGCCAAAAACATCCATGTAAGGGTGGTATTCGTCGCTTTTTCAGCATCCAGCTTGCGGGCGGCTGTCTGGTTTCAGTCAACTTTAGCTGCTTGCTCATGCGAAGCCTGTGTTTGTTCAGTCCGTCACAGGACGTTGTTTGTGATGCAGCCGTTAAACTCGGTTTGATTTGTTATAGTTTGCTGTCTGCACTGCGGTTTCATTTTATATTTTTCGTGTTACGTTATATTTTGTTATGTGTGTTATGCCATAGCTGACCGCCATTTTTTGCTAACGCCTCATTGCCTTTTCGTTCACTGTTGTGATTTCACTAAAATTGTAATTTCAACTTATATACAGACCCAAATGTATTACTATTAAAATCACGCATGAGTTTGAATGCAGCATTACACTGGCACGGAATAACCGGACAATGATAGCGATGGCACCGGTGACACCGATCGTCGGAACCACCGCAATGTCGCGTGGAACGATGGCACGGGGCCGTGGGGCGACAGCAAGGAAACGCTGAATGACGTCACAGGGCCAACCGCGGGTCACGGTACGAGGCCACGAAACGGTAGCACGGACTCATAGGACAGCGACGACGACGAAGGACTCGTGGGACTCACGGACTCACGGGACCACATAGCGATGACACGGGGCTACGAGACCATGGCACGGGACCACGAGGACCATTACACGGGAACATGACACGGCACTACGGAACCATGGTACACAACATATAGCGATAGCATTGGACCACGGGACCTCCTTCCGTGGCACGGGACCACGGAGTCGGGCTGCTTCATGACGATACATGGTGTACCTCACGTCTTAATACGTCACGAAGATATTTAGGACATTTTCCGTGTGTTTCACGCTACATGACACTCCATTTCAGACCGAGCGGGGAGGATCCCACGAAGACCCCAGACGATGATCTGTTTGACGCCTACAAAAACGTATGGCCGCTCGAAAAAGTGTCGTGTGCCTGTTGAGGATACAGAGATGTTCTCTTTTGCCTTTCACTGCGGTAGACGATGTATGCTGCCAAATCACGCATTGCTCTCTCAGCGCTCTCAGTTCCAATTGAGATACACATGACTGCGGGAGCTTTTCGGTTCAGATGTCAATTAATTAGATTGATTTGGACATCCTAGACCCACCCTCCACTGTCCTTAACTAAGCTGATGTGACCTGACCCAGTCTAAATTGACCTGATTACATCTGTCTTAGTCAGCTGCTCCGCAGGGCCCTGACAGCGCCCCATATCCTCTTCCTACGCTCACCAGTTTTATCTTTCCCTGACCTACACCGCCACGCCGTGTTCTGCTCGCAGCAAACTCGGCGTTATCCTCCCCTAGTCCAAAATTTTCTCCATTGCCTTACTCAGCCTCGACCAGACCTGACCTGCATCATGTCCTCTTCCCTACCTTGGTGTTTTCTGGATTGCGCTCCCCTACCCCTACTCTGACACATCCGAGCAATCATGATTTAAGCTGACCTGCTTAGGACCTCGACGCGGCTCAGCCCCATCTTACCCTACTCTACACTATGTTCTGTCCTGCTCTGTCCTGGTTTGCGTTGCGATGTGTCACGATGCTGCTGTGCAATCGCTGTTCGTCTTTGACACGCCCTGCCCCTACCTGAACTGACTTGACTTGACTCAACCTGACGTAAACTGAATTGACCCACCTTGCCAAGGCCTGACTGGACCTGACCTGTCCTGCCGAGCAGCACTCGGAGCGCGTGCAGGCCGAGTTCGGCTACACGCCGCTGATCTGGGAGACGGAGACTCCGCCGCGGCTCTCGACGGCCGAACAGTGCCGCTTCTTCACCGCCGACAGCCAGGGTCGCGTCGTCTACCTTATCCCGCCGCAAGCGCCCATCGTGGACAGTGTCCATATCAGGGTCAGTCAAGTGTGACGTCATACCCATCGTGGCTGTCTCATGTCACCGTGGGACGTCACGGTCGGCATGATATGTCACGGTCAGTACGTGAATTTCGGGGTGCCATGGTAGCGTCACTAGAGTGACATGCTTGTGATGGTGTCATGGCGAGTGTGTGATGTCAGAACCAGTCTGTTAGGGCCGGAACTAGTTTCGTGACGTCATGACCGGTGGCTTCCATCAGCGTCAGCGCGTTGCTGCAGGGGTTCATAGTTTTCTAACGGCGCGTTAGAGTAATGACGTCAGGGTGGTGACGTCAGCATCAAGCCTATCGCGGTGACGACATGGTCGCTCCTGCAATGTCCACATCAAGTAGGAGACGTCAGAGAGGGGATGACCGAACAACAGGGTTAGGCTGGTGATGTCCGACGCAGTGTGTAAAATTGGTGACAGTGAGTGGCCCCAGGATCGATCTGGAGACCGCCAGCTGGTGTGGTGACGTCAGCGTCAGCACGCTGACGTCAGAATCACCATGGTGACGTCATGGTCCGAATGAATTGTCAAGGGACGCTGTATGGTTCCGATGCCAGTGTGTGATCATGGTCAGCGTTGGGATGTGAAGGTATTCGCGTTATCGGTATTGATATGTATATATATATATATATATATATATATATATATATATATATATATATGATGACATATATGACGGTGCCATGGTTAGTCTGAAGGTGTTCGAGTCTTTGTGTGACCGTTGGCAGGCGGGCTGATGATTTTTGTTGACGTCAAAACCACTGTGGTGGGGTCAGAGCCAGTGTGCTGATGTCAAAGTCAATGTTTCCGTCCGAGTCAATGTGGTGACGTCAGAGCCATTGCACGGATTGTCCATTGCCATTGTCTGTCTGGCCATTTGTCAAGCCATTGTCTGGATAAGTTTATGAGATTAGTTATAATGGTATGATTTGTATGATTTAAAATGACGTCGGGTTTGTTGCATGCTGTCGTAGCTAGAAGTATGACGCCAGCGTTGGTGTGATGATGCCAGGGCCCGTAGGGTAACTTCCATTTCTCCTTGATGACGTCCATTGGCTGTGCGTCACGACTTAGCTTAACCGGGACGCAGTGCGCGTGACGTCACGGAGCAGTGAGTGGTAACAATGGCGCGTGGTGCGTCCGCCAGCTGACCTCGGGATACGGTGGCGAAGGCCTGTTCCGGAGTCTCGTGACCTTTTTCTCCCCCTCCAACTCCTACCTCACCATTGACGTTCACCTGCTGCCCGACGAGCTGCCATGCCGAGGGGACGTCACCGTCCAGCTGCTGACGTCACTGGAGAAGGACGTGCCGCCAATGGTGTACCAGGTACGACCCTGGCGTCATGGGCATTCGTTACGATGCACCGAGCAAAAAGCCTCTCAAACGCGAAGCGTCTTAAATTAGGGGACTCCCCTAGGATGCTGCCCTCACTGACGCAGGAACCAGTTCCCATGCCAAATAGCCTAGTGCCCGGTCATGATCTTCCCACAGTCTTGTTGCATACGTTACGCACGTGGCAGTGCCTTAAAGTATACACACTTCCTGTGAAACTTGCTTAAAACGAGTCAGGGACCGCGGTTACGCGACGTCATCTTCACCACCCCCGTGTTGGGCAGGTGATGTCGCGCAGCGAGATCCTGCGATCAGGCCGGGTGTCCAGCTCGAGCCTGACACTGCCGGTGACGCCGGCCATGAGCCCGCAGTTCAAGCTGCTGGTGTTCTTCGTGCTGGGCTCGGGCGAGGTGGTGAGCGACGCGGTCGTCCTCAAGGTGGAGCAGTGCTTCAACAACCAGGTGCGACGGCGTGCTGATGAGGTTCACTAAAAACGAGCGAAATATGAGATGCAGTAATTGTGTCGAATGACTGGCATATTCCAACACTCCGGTCTTCTGAAAGGCTTGAGCAATAAGGCTTATAACTTTGCATAACTTTAATGCCACCACCTGCAGGTCGAAGCTTCAGTAGTTCCAAATGTCTACAGATGAGATGAACCCAAGTCTTGCAAACGACAGTTATGGTGGGTGACATGTGCGTCTCGTCATGGTGTCCCACACGTCCATGCGACTGTGCTTCGGTCATCAAGATGTCCTTGGATCCAGCCCGGAAAAAGGCACGTGATAGCCCAAATTTGACCTCACGTCACGAACAATATGGCTCCAAACGTTTAAATAAAACACCATAGATCGATACTGCCGTTGTTGGAGGCTGTTCTCGAGTTTGCTATCTATTTATTTTGGCGCATTACTTAGCCAGCAGCACCCAACGCTTCAAGTGGAGAGCAAATGCAGCTAAACTGCGGACCGAGGAGGGAGGCAAGCCCGGAAATCTCTGTTCAAAGCTACCGTGTGATCCACCCGGCTACTTACATCCTGCTGTTGTCAGGTGGATGTCAGCTGGGATAAGGAGACGGCCCAGCCCGGGGAGTCCGCCTCCTTCACTGTCAGCGCCTCGCCCGACTCCGTGTGTGGCGTCAGTGAGTATCCGTCCCCCTTGTCGTGTGCTGGGGTCGTTGACCTCCCGTCAGTGTCACCTGTGACATGCGTACACGACGAAAAACTGTCAGCAAAACAGTCTTACTAGCGGGTAGCCAGCTGTTGCTCAGTGGAGCTGAGCTGTGTTACTCTGTCCACTCTGTTATGAATTTATTGTTTTGATCGCCCCGCCTGACGCACGATAACCAAAATGTCTTCCTTGTCATCTCCTGAGCGGTGGTTTTCGCCGCGTGTTCGCCAGGTGCCACTGGCCTCCAAGACTGGCAGTGCTTCTGGCGCTGCCCCAAATGTACACCGAATGTTCGCAACGTATCGCTCTCACTAGATGTTCGCAAGCGACTTCAGTAGACGGCCACTGACTCCCTCGCGACGTGTGTTGTTGCTTTCAGCAACGCACAGGCTCTCCAAACGATGCCATACAAACTCTGATATATTTGTTGGAGCTGTCAGCCCTTGAAACTATTCGATGATCATCGATTGTTGGATATATATATATATATATATATATATATATATATATATATACCCGTCCTCCCTCGCCATGCTATAGTGTTACTAAAGCACTTGTTTTCCGCGCGCGGGTACATGGGTGAAAGAGGCGATGTGATAATTATGCAAGAGGTTACACTAGCTTCCTTCTAAAACTACGTAATGCCAACGCCTTCACACAAAGCCGCTCATTCGGACTATTCCATCACATCTGCTGCACTCAGCATTCTCCTATTATGCTCATCTGCCGTGGAGCGGGTCGGAGCACGATGGAGCACGAATGATGGTGTGCTCCGTCGGTTGAGGACGGTGTGCTCCTGAGGACCGAGCACGACTGACAGTGTGCTCCCGTCTGCAGGCGCCGTGGACCGGAGCACAGAGCTGCTGGGAACCGGTAACCAGATCACCGTGGAGGGCGTGTTCAGCCAGTTGAGGCAGTTCATCTCCCAGGGCTTCAGTAGGCTATCACAGGTCACCTTGCCGGTGGAGAGGGAGAGAGGAAGCGGTCGTTGGTGCCGCCTTCGACGGACGGGAAGGCAGGGAAACAAACCTTGGGGCACACCGTCAGCCGTCCTCCACCGACGGAGCACACCATCGACGGCCTTCGGTGTTGTCTGCTACCGTTTCGGTGATGCGAAGCATTATCTTAAAGCACCGTCAGCCCCTTTTAGACACGACAATAAAACATCAGTTTTAAATGCGACCTTACATTCGTTACTCATCTTCCACTTCCCACACACCCGAGTGAGCCGTGTTGAACCTCCATGCTCTTATGATGTTGAGATCTTCTGCAGCGCCGTGAAATACGTCATGATTGAGTGGACTTGACGTTCTCGTCTGGTGTTCCGTGTCACGATAGGCTCACTGACAACCGTAAACGATGTTGGCCATTTCAGGCGACCACCGAGCGCTACTGCCGTAACCAGCAGAGGAGTCTGATTGACACCCTGCAACGGTAAGTCTGTCCTGAGACGCGGGAGAGGGTGCTATTAGCCTGCCGTCCTTTTGTAATGAATCCGCATTACCGTTAGAGCTTGATGTGTCGGTACGTTGGTAAGCAGGCACACCAAGTCAAAGCTGACAATCTGTGTGTCAAGTGATTGGCATATGTCCTATACCGAGCAAACCAAGTAGAGATGATTTCTTCATGTGGAGTGGTGACTTTCCACTTCGCTGATGATGTTGGCCAGGCATTGGATCAACATCTGGAAAGCTGAACCGGCAGCTGACGATGACTTTCGGGGTAACAGTGTACATGTGCACCTATCGCAGTTCGTAAATGTGTAGCAGTTTGCGGCAATGCTTGTTTCGATGTTTGTTTTCATCATTTCTCAGGTTTGCCCTAGTTTTTTAAGTTTTTAAGGAGCTTGGTCAAGACATTTTCTTCCGTTTCCTGTGTATCGCTCAATAAGCTTTTTAGCTTGCGCGTGTGCATACCTTGTTCTACCGTAGTACTCTTCTCATGCCTGCCTTTGTTCTCCCGTGGCATTGTCTATGTCAGCTAGAAGCATGATAACGCTTGCATCAATCGTGGACTTCTTTATGGTGGCTTGCTCCTCGTTCATCACCTACGGCCTTGGTGGTCTCAGCCTTTCCAATGTTTGTAAGGTCTCGTAGAGTAACGTAGTCTACCGTGTAAGCGCAGTTCCGTAGCGTGCGTAACACGTCTCCCCGATCTCTCCATGCCCGCCTTATCGTCTCTTCAAAACGCCCGACGATAATTTGGAGAAATGACGAGAAATCATTGAAGATACTGAAAAACTTAGCGAGCATGTCAGCCCCAGTAATTGCTTCTCCAACATGTCTCTCAATTGTTACTCTTACACGCGCTCGAGTGGTGGGTTGGATACCCGTCGCTGGAATGGAATCAATTTGACCGCCCCTGAGATCTCAGCAACTAAGAGAGCTAGAGATACCAAATTTACTGTGGGTCCTTTTGGTTGAGAGCCTGTAAGGATTTAAAGATTCTGAGCACGTTTTGAAGGACATCTGTGTTAAAAGACCATCCTAATAAAGTAGCTACTTTACTTCAAATGGCGTAGTATGTATACACAGACAACCTTTTGGCAGCCATTCGGCCTCTGGGTGCGAGGGAGTTTCGACAAGACCAGCCAACACTGAGGCATATCTGACCCAACCAACATCACCCTCAAGGGGATGAAGTGCACCATTCCCAGCCCTGCACCCTTCTGCTCCGTTTCCGCGTGACTACACCGCCGGTCCAGCTGTGTGACCCCTGTAACCCCTGTGTGACCCCTGTGTGACACCTGTGTGACACCTGTGTGACCCTTGTGTGACCGCGTCTTGGTCTCCGCCACCAGAAGTGGTGCCTCAAATGAAGAGCAGGGGCCGGACTCATCGCGGCGCTCCCCACGGCCGGGCGTTGGGGACGTCCCTGATTTGGACGCCGTCAGGGACAGCTTCAGGACCGACCGGTACGACACGCTCACGACGTTCGACGTGAGTGTACAGTGGCTGGTTTCTTCCACGACAAAGTGAGAGGTGAAGGGGCCAAATAATACCCTTTATTTTTTCTCTCGCTGAAGGCATCAGCATGGCGTTGTCTTACACCTAGAATTCGGCGGTGCCTTTTTGGAAAGATTGGAGCAGCGACTGATTAGTTACAGCCTGGCGTATTTTTAGGTCAAGTAGCATGGTCGGTTTTGAGGGTTCATGACTCAAATACCTTGATCTTGGCCGCACATAACCACATAAGACTGAGTTGGAAGTGATCCAATGCATTTTTGGCTATTTTCAAGTTAGTCTTTACTCAGTTTTCAAAACTGTGACCGGACGAAGTAAAATCACGTGACCTCCATTGACATTTCAGCCATCCACAATGTTGTTTTTCAAAACGCGGAAACTTACATCAACGACATCTCTAGCAAAACAAAGTTTAAAAAATACGCTTTTAATCTGCAATGTTCGTTACCAATTTGGCATGTACAGCCCACTTAATTCAGATAGGACAGAGGATGCAAATAATGTGTTCAACTGTCATAAAATATGTTTAAAATTATAGATGCATGCAATCTATCTCTGCCACGTCAACTGGCGCGGTAGCTATGCATGCAGCAAACCACATTTCGTCATGAACTGTTAGCAATAGCGTGGATGATCTGACTTGCGAGCACCACGCATCGCAACGACTTAATGCAACAATGATAATATCCGTTCATCTGCAAGAGAGGGAGAGAGAGAGAGAGAGAGAGAGGGAGAGAGAAAAAAAATTGTGAGAAGTATGTGGTTTTGTATGCTGGAAATGGCATATAAATTGCCGAAGATAGTGCAAGCAATCCCAAGTCTTAACAACATAACCGGTTGAAACAAAACAAATTTCATCAATATATATTTTCCGTCATACAAGCTAGCGGCAATTGGGCTCGGTGGCTGAGCACACGCCGAAAAAATTAGAATAAGTTTTCTGATCTGTGTTTTGTTTGCTATGCAGACAATGTCGCGCGCCCATTCCAGTAGTAAAGCAATCCATCGCTAATATTTATGCGGAATGAGAGGTTTGACCCATGACGCCAGGCCAGTAGAATGTCCGCCCTGTCCCGAACTGTCTCCGGCTATGTGAGCCTTTTGTGATGTCCCTGTTACCTTGTGTCTGAGTAAGGTGCATCTGGAAGGTCAGCCTCGCATGTCCCACAGCCGGGTTGGTTCAGTTGGAAGAGCCATTGTATTGTTGGCTGCCGCCGCCTTCAATACGATGGACAGCACCTCATTTGTGTAATTGGGAATGTCGTTAGCCGGCTGTGAAGACAGCAATCAGATCGTCTCCAATGCTGCGTTGTGCACGCTGAAGTCTGTTCAGTGATGTTCTCTCTTCTGTTTAGGGAATTTTTATACAGCCCGTAAAATTAAGCGCCTGAGTGTTCAGTGCAACGCGCCTACCATGTATGATCAAATCTATTGGAATTCTCAGCTAGCCAGATGTCCATCTCCTCCAACGAATCTGTTTGTTGATAGGTAGTTTCTCTATCACACCATTATCTACCTCTCCCCAGTGGACGGGCTTTCTGGTGATGACCAACCTGGTGCTGGAGACAAGGCCCTGCTACAAACAAGTGCCGCCCCAGCAGATACCTGCTCCTCTTGATTTTCTTGCCCAGACTATTCCATTTGTAAGTCGTTCTCACCAAGAGACGTGCAAATGACATTTAAAGGCTGTGAGTGAGTCACCTTGCCTCCGAGAGAGCTATGGGGGGTGAAGCTAGTCCTCTGACCTCTGTTGTGCGAATATGTACCATTCTGTCGCGTGCGATTCATGCTTACTTACGCAGCTGGTGCCTGTGTCTTCCGTTGCTAACTTTGCCGTTACCACTCAGTCGTTACCGGACTACGGACCCGCACCGGTCTTTGAAAACCGCTTCGAAACGCCACTAGTTCAGCCTGCAGACCCAGGTATTGACCAGTCAAAAGTGGGCGTAGCAGTAGCCGAATCCGCTCCGATTGGGGACCAGGTCCGCGAGTTCTTCCCGGAGGCACTCCTCTTCTCCATCGAGACGATCGGGTGAGACAGGAGTCAGAGAAGTGCGTTGCGCGCAACTGAGGGGGGGGGGGGGGACTGGCCACGGAGGACCTCTAGGCTGTTCCTGAACGTCGCTGTGGTGGTCAGATATGCTCGCTCTCTGTCCTGTATTCCATTGTTATCGCTTGTCCAATACCGACCGTGGTTCAGTGTTGTGATATGCCCGCAACATGCGCGCGGTTTATGTGTCGCAGGTACGAGCCGTTCGGTAGATCAGACGGGGTAAATGAGCTGCTCAGCTGAACCGAAACTTCGAAATCTATTCTGAATTGCACTGCACTTGAGTTCACCCAGATGCAACCTAAACTCTCTTCCTCTTCCAAACACGTTCTGATCCAGTCTTTTAGCTCGGTATCATGCCGCACCACATAAGCGGCACCTTCTTTATCCTCCTTGGGCGCGTCTTTTTGTTTGTAAGGCGCGCTGTTTCCTGAAGCACATCACCAATATTCCTTAGCGTGGTGTTAGTTTGCACTTCAAACGGTGACCGCTACCTTTGTCGTCGGTTGACTTTCCCTTCTCCTTACCGACCCTTACACGGGAGACTTTCTGTGCCGACAGCGTGGAGGGCACCAAAGTGCTGACCCAAGACATGCCAGACACCATCACGTCGTGGGTTGGCTCTGCCATCTGCTCCCACCCCCAGGTAAATGAAGAGGACCCGACTCTATGGTAGGTGGATAGCTTTCGAACCGAAGAAGTCCGTGATTGCCGGTCCCAGGCGCTAGAAGTAGTCTGTGATCCCCGGCCAGGACTTCCGCCCCTGTGTAGGTCGGGAGCTCTCGACCTCCCATCCCCGTGTGGGTCGGGAGCTCTCAACCTTCCACCTCTGTGTAGGTCGGGAGCTCTCGACCTCCCATCCCCGTGTGGGTCGGGAGCTCTCAACATTCCACCTCTGTGTAGGTCGGGAGCTCTCGTTCCCAGGTATTCCGGGACTTCTCTGTCCTAGGCCGGAGGGTAGTTTCGCCTCTGGGCGCGGGAGAGTCTTGTGGCTCCAGGTTATCGTGGATTTCCAGGCCCGTGGTAGGTGAGATTTCCATTTGTCAGGCTCCACGGTGGTTTCCGCCGTTTGGCAGGTATGTAGCGTGTGCATGGGTAATTAAACATATTCCGGTTGGACGAAATACAGGTGACGAGGATTTCACGTGCGCAACTTGATTTTCCTCCTGATAGCTGACGTTTTGATTAATGCTGGTCTTTAACATATTTAATGCTGGTCTTTAAGACATATTGCCGAGACAGGGGTGCCGGTAGTGTAGTGGTTAAGGCATCTGCGCATTTGGGAAACCGGAGAAACAGGGTTCGATTCCCCGCGGGGCCCGCCCTTCCTGCCAGGATGAGAGGCAGGCGACACCATATAGTCTCAGCAGCTTGGTGCGTCGTAAAGCCTGAATGATAACAACAATAACACACTGCCAAGATATCCCATGACATAACTCTTAATTATGTCTGTTGAATGCAAATAAAACTAACAAAATACAAAATCCTCAAAACTCGAGCACTCGAGCACCAATGACCTGCCTGTTCGTAATTCGCCTTCAACTGGTCATGACGTCATCGGGTGCTACCAGGACGGGTTCGGCGTCTCCAACAAATCAGCCATCAAAGTCTTCAAGCCGTTCTTCACGGAGGTCACGCTGCCGTACTCCGTGAAGCGCGGAGAGGTCCTGAACATGGCATCCACCGTGTTCAACTTCCTCGACTCCAGTCTGTCGGTAAGAGGGTCACAAAATGCTCTTTACATTTTAGATCGTCTGTGACATGTTCACATGAGTGCAGCTGCTAATCTGTTCTGTTGGGGACTGATTGTCATTACCTGCTGATTGCAAGGACCTGCTCACAATCAAAGATGGGCGTAACAATTCTACCCACATAGCGTTTCGGCCTACATGTAGAGAAACATACTCGGCGTTATACCTGGTGTTATATGTCCCCTGACCGTTAGACGTGGCTCACCAGACGTTTTGCAAAGCATTCGCTAAAATTCCAGCTGTGCGTACCCACACAAAATACAACACTTTTCAACCAAGCTAAGACTCACCCCAAGTGACATTGCACCGCAACGATTTGAATACAGCACTCTCGCACGCCATTGCGGTACATCCTCACAAATTTGTATCTTTGCCAGATACACACAACGCGCTCTCTCAATCGCTACAATAGCGATGAAAACACATTTGGCTGAACGGTTTGTGGTGACCGTCTCTCAGACATCTCCAAGTCCAGGCTTTAAGCAACTCTATCTAAGACGTCACCCTGCTACATTAGCAGACGTCGCAGTGCACACAAGGTGCCAGTTGCAGACATTGCAGCACATACCGGCTACCAGTTGCAGATGTTGCAATGCCCACCAGCACACCAGCTGTCAACCCACAGGTCTCTGCACCGGGCGTTGCAGTGCCCGCTACCGGCAGGTGTACCTGGAGCTGGCGGCGTCGGATGATTACTCGCTGGTCGACGAGGTCTCGCCCGCGGGCATTGACCTGTGTTCCGGCGGGCCGCTCCAAGGTCAGCCACTTCCCGCTGACCTTCACCTCTCTGGGCGAGGTCAACATCACCGTCACGGCCAGACTCCGAGACGGCAACTGTGACCAGCCGAACACCGTCGGCCCCGGCAGGTGAGCTTTCGATGGTTTTTAGTTCTGGCGGCAGGCTTTCGTTAGCTTTTAGCTCTGGTGGTGGGCTTCAATTTATGATGCAGCGTGGTTGTTTGTCGGAACTGCATTGATTTTAATACACGACATCTGTACGCGTGGTTACTCCTATAGAAATAAATCAGGGCATAACTGGCACCAGCGGAAGGTAAAAAACAAAAGCCTATCTAATGTTGCCAAGGCAGTCTGCTCAATATGTCGGTGCCAGCTGAGATTGGCTGGAATGAGAGAAGGATTACGGCCGATGACCCGAGAATCTGGATTCGCTCATGTCTTGCTTCTGGATTGCGCCCGGCACCTTACGTCTCAAGTCTTACACACACGTTCGTTGATTCCGGTCGGTTTTGGGTAGCTATCCACAAACATAAGATTTTCTTTGATGAATTATGTATCTAATGCATCAATTTTGTAATTCGCACAGTTTGCACAGCAATCATCTACAACTGGGGCTATGAAACCTACGCATGGGTCGAAGTAACACAAAAGTTATCGAGTACTTTGCCGCAACAGTTTGGATCAACGGTCTATGTCTAGGAATGGAAACTGCAAGTTATGTAAGTTTTAAGGGAATAAACACATTTGTTCACACGTCGCTGGTCACGATCACACAATATGGCACGCATATAGATGAATCCGTTGCGTCATGTCTGTCTCGCTTCAGTGACGTAAAGGAAAAGGATTCTGCATGACGTCACGTCTAGTATTGTCGTCCAGTTCACTTCGAACACCCAAAGGTGCAGAATCTATCGGGTGTGACGTCATTTTGACGTCAAAGAGGTATATATGTTGTCGTCCGATTCACTGCGAAGGCTCCCTGAGACTGCACCAGTTGCAGTATCTTTGAAAAAAATTGTTTACTCCTGTGTGTAGGAAGGGGAAGGGGTGGTGGGAAGAGGCTTGTCGACGCACATGCTCCTCGTTGTTCTTACTAGCTTAGCATGCGCTGGAGAAGGTTTCATACAAGTATCGGCTCAATAAGAATCTTTCCCTGACATCGTCCGTGCTGCGAATCTCCCACGCACCTGCGTTTGGAATGTTATTGGCAGCACAAACACCGTGACCCTCCTGCTGTGACCGACAGTGACACGGTCATCCGTCCGCTAGTGGTCAAGCCCGAGGGATTCCCGCAGGAGGAGACGACGTCACGGTTCGTGTGCCTGGACGAAGGTGAGCGATGACTCTTGTGACAGAGTCATTTGTACGCTGGTCCTGGTTTAGTCCAGCGAACTCACCCGGTGCGTGCGTGCGTGCGTGCGTATGCGCATGAGTGCGTACGTGCGTGCGTTAGCTAAACGGTGGCGTGATGGTGTGCCATAGTGTCTTTGGTGGAGTGCTGTGTAAATAGACATGACGGTGCTTGAGGTGCTTTGCTACATGGTGTTGAGTGAGGTCTGATGGCTTGTTGCGGTGTGTGATTGGAAGGTTGGGACAATAAGCGCGGAAATCATGCGAGGAGCATTGCAGCTCTAGGTAGAGATGGAGATACCATAGCTTTGTTTTATGCGTACGCAAGTAAATTTGCCTTGAGAGAGCTAAGCAACCAGGACGGGTCTCAGTTGGTCTTAGCAGTATTGCGAAATTTTTATTCCTTTTCGATATAATTAAATCCCTATGCAGCTCGTCGTTTATTATCTCAAGCAGCTGTTGTTCCATAACAAACTCCACTTTTCGAACAGCTCTAGTGCGGGCTATAGCGTCCTTGAGGTAATATCACCACGATCTTTCACCGCGTGACGTTGAGCACCAGTACTCTGTCAATGTGTGTTGTGTTTTCATTTGTAATAGTATCGCATGCTTTACTTGCACAACGATCGCCATCAATAGTAGCGAGCCTGTCGCGGATCGTCGCTTAAAAGGCCTGAGGCCATGATGCGACCGTACCCCCTGTTATAGCAGGGCACTGACTTGCTCCCGATGTGCTAGGAGCTGAGCCTCACGTGGAGCGGATCCCGATGGTGGGTCCTGAAGGCCTGGTGCCGGATTCTGAGCGGGCTTATTTCTCCGTGGTGGGCGATCTGCTCGGACATTCGCACGGAGTGAGTTTGTTCCTTATGTATCTCACATCTGTTCATCCAGTTTTGATCCATGACACTCACAGATACCATTGAGAGTACAGCAAACGTGGCGAATGAGTGCATATTCCTCCCTGATTTTATCCTCTCCCTTAGAAAAATAAAAGCCCTTGTATAATACTCGATGATGGGGGGACTCCAAACAACTAACTCCACCCTACTCATTGTTCGAGGCTACGCTTCTTGTTGATCAAACTTGGCTGGGCCAAAGGACAAGTTTTCTGGAAAATTGAACAGCTATGGCTTTGTGTACTTGAACATTTGCTGATGATGTAGGGCTTTATTAATGCACCAATGCTGGCCCACCGTGCGCGATCTGCCAAGTCAACAGCCTAAATACCCTCAGAACGCCATGGGCGGGGGGGAGGGGGGGGGGGGCGAGGGGTTCGACACTCTCCCTATCAAGGTGGAGATTAAAAAAATGTAGTATGGCTAATGGACGAATTGCATTGAATTGTTTGCAACTTGTCTCTGAGATGAAGTCTCTTTTGAGATGCTCTTCCGCTGCCATTGTAATCAACGAAGCTGCCTCGCCGACTTCTCCATGTGTAGTTACCCACGGCCGTGACTGCCAGAACCTGGGCCGCCTGGTGGACATCCCGACGGGTGGAGGAGAGCACAACATGTTGGCCTTCGTGCCGTACATCCACATGAGGGCGTACCTGGAGCACACCGGGCTGCTCTCCCCTCGTGACCGGGACCTGACCATCAACGGCATGAGACGAGGTGAGACAGAGACTCGGAGCATACGGAACTGCTGACCCCCGGGGAGCAGGGCTAGATAATCATGGCATGAGACAAGGTGGGACAAAAACCAGGCGGACCAGGCAGACAGGCATGCAATTCAGAATGGTCTGGACCAATCCAGGTCACGAAAACAGCAGCTGGCGCCGACTTGCGCACGCCAACGTGCACCATCAAAAACGGAGGCGTGCGTGCCAAGTGCCTCTGGATTTCAAAGCACTTGCGGCGTGTCAAGTCACACCATCAATGCATCATCAGTGCAGCGTATCAAGTCGTATGCAATCTGTGTTTGGCTATCTAAATGGAAGAGCATATTCCTCTGGTACGTGAAAGGTATTTTGGCCAATGCAGCGCGTTGTTCAGGAAGGACGTCAACAACTCAGATGTGCTCCACTTGCACATTGATCACTTCATCTCTCACTTGAGCTTCCTGGCGTTCCAATGCGTGGCAAATATCGTCCAAGTGTCTCGGGGGCGTATAAACAGCACTTAAATGAAAAATAAACAAAACAGCTGGAAAAGCATGTCAGGATAAAGCGCCCAGTAGCACTAATTTCGTGATTGACCGAGAGGATAAGCCCGTCTACAGTGTGGTACGCTGCTGGAACAGCTCGTTACCCCTCGCCATGAGTCACGGTTTTTTCATAACGTGAACGGATAGGGGTTCGATGCGAGCTCCGCCGTGCCGTTCCAAACTAAAAGGGATAGCGCCTCTTGCCGAGGTGTTGCGATGGATAATACGTTTAATGTTTCTAGGTAACCAATTAACGCCACTAGACCAAGTCGCAGGTCATATTTTCCAGATGCATCCTTACAGATACTCAAGTGTGCATGCTCAAACACATATGCTCTTTACACGCTCATATACAAGAGACCATGCCTCAGAGCGACGCTAGCGGCCGTGGTCATTCTTCATTTCTGAGTGCAGCGGTATGTATTGGCACGTGTTTTGAGCATATCTGTATGATGTAGGACTCCGTCAATGTAACAGTGTCATCTCACCGCCAGCGGTCCGCGGAATCGTCGGTTGAGGCCTCCACACGCGCTGGCAGCAAATTACTGTGCCGTGTTCATCGAGAACGTCGGTGCTCAGAAAACAAATTAGCTAGGGACACGTTTTTCGCGTCGAAATGCTTACACTGCGTGTCCTATAGCCGGCGGAAATTTGCGCGTGATTGCACGATATGCCAGAAAACCCTCAGAAAACCCATAGAAAACTTTAGATGAGGTGTATCGATCCTTTTTCCTCTCATATGAGGGCGAGGGCTAGGGTGAAAGGGCAAAAATGTTGATGGCTCATTGACACACTAGATACTAGCCTTACTTCCTGGAGAGGTAGCACTGTACGTGTGTAACAGATGTGTGCGAAGACCGTTCCAGCTGTCTTTCCGCACGTGCGATGAATCTGACGATAACTACCACTACGGAACTTCACGACCCCTTTCGGTCTCTGATTGCTGAACATCCTTGGCAGACCTTGGGTAGATAGAAAACGTGTGCCTGGAAATTTGGACAAGGTCATCGCTGGGTTTGGTGAGGTGAATTAGATGGCAAGGAGGAAGCCTCGGTGGCAGCTGACACGTGCGGCCCGTAGACCTTCTTGTTTGCATCAGAGTGTGCCAGATCAAGTTACAAAACTTTAAACTTGTGACCTGTGCTATGCCTGATGGTTCTAGACCCAGTCACGTTACCCATGCTTTCTGTGACTCTCTCATGATGTACCCTAGGGTACCAGACTCAGCTGCGGTACAGGCATCGGGACGGCTCGTACTCTTCGTTCGGCCGGGATGACCCGGAAGGCTCGCTGTGGCTCGCCGCCTTCGTCGTCAAGTCCTTCAAGGAGGCGTCCGAGTACATCGATATTGGTGGGTGCAACATGTCGCGGTACAACAAGTGTTTCGGTTATTGGATTCATTGCAGCACACCCCTGGCGCCTCTAATATGTACTCTTAACTCAGGGTTGCCTGCTTTTATATATCCACTGTGAGAAAGGACGTCATCATTGTCGATGTAACTGTCATGTTGTCATTATCACCATCATGATCAGTGTTAAGTCCAGAGCGACAGTGCAGTGCTGCACTACGATCAGAGGTGGTTGGCGCGCGTTGAACGACCTTCGCATAGCGCAGTGAAGAACGACCTTGGTGAAGGTCATTCTTCACTGCGCCATGCGAAGAATGACCTTCACCGCGCCGAGGAAGAATCACCTTGGCTTCGACTCTGAGGAGCTACAGCCAGCCAGTTAACGGGAGCGGACGTGTCAGTGGGATTATGTGGGACCACCGGGCATAGCGGGGCAGACCCCACTGTTCCGTTTGTCTCGCCCATGCGCGAAGTTACCAATGCAAACGAGAGCCAGCTGGTGCAGCAGCAGCAGGGAAAAGTTGTTCGCTTTCAATAGCTGACCATAGCTGCGCCCTATCTGCTGCCATGTCCATGAGAGAAGTCAGCCATCACCAGCAGGAGTTAACTGGTGCAGTAGCGGCAGCAGAGCGAAAGTTGCTTCCGTCCAATAGTTGACCATAACTTTGCCGTCTCATCCCCATGCCCAGAGTAGAGGCTGACCAAGACCGCAGATAAATGGCCGCTGCAACAATGGCATGGTCAGAGCTGCCTCCATTCACCACGTAACCATAGCATTCTTATCAAGACAAAGAGGCTCGTGGCCAGCGTCAGCTGGGTGGCACGGTAGCAACACTTTGATGTCTGCTGTATCCCATTAGCTGACCATGACCTGTCAAGATGACGAGCCATTTGTAGTGTGAGACGGCTGGTACCGTGGCCGCTTCTCCTCACTAGCTGACCATAACTTACTTGCCAGACGAGGAGTCGACCAAGCAGAGCGAGCAATGGCTGGTACAGCAGCAGCAGGATGACGGCTGCTTCCGTCCGATCGGCAGCGTCATTCACAAGGAGCTGAAGGCAAGGGATGCGTCGTCATGATGGCGAATGGGATATACCAATCCCCGGCTCCACGCCCGTGCTGCGGGTATCGGGACACAGAGCTCTCAGGCTGGGGTCAAATAATGGAGTAAGGATCATTAACGTCAACAGGCGTACATACGTGCTATAAAATGGTCAGGGCGTAAACGAAAATGTCACAGATGTTCTTCACATCCACATCTGTCCTGACCAAGAGATGATCTCCGGGTGACGCCGGTGTGTTCACTCACCAGGGCGGCACGGAGCGGGGCGGCCCGGCCGCCCTGACGGCGTTCGTCATGCTCGCCCTCGGGGCAGAAAACAACAAGAGTCTGGAGAGCGGATTCACCTGCCTGGAGCACGGCATCGGTCTGACCAACAAAACACTGTATGCCGAGGTATGGCCTATTAGCTCTGAGGGTTTCTTCAGAATTGCTGCTACAGTGCCGCTTCACTTTATGTAAGTTGCCTAGTGGCCCCACACTGTTGACAATGAACGTTTACCGCAAAAGTTCGCATATTTGTTTTTGTAATGCATTAGCAGTTTGAGCGAAACGGTCAGCAATGTTGTTCGTAGTAGAAGATAGCTGCATATTTGGGCGGATGTACGATATTCCGCGCGCGACTCGTCGCCTCTTTCCTATACGTGGCACCGGCTACAGCCGTGAACTTCGCTAAACTGCATCGTATGTGGAAGATAGCAGGATGCGTCTTTGTCGCTTGAAGTGCTGGAGGTGACTTTCATGCTTCGTTTCCCGACTCTGTTCCCTCTCATGCACCGCCCTAGTGGCAATGTTAAAAACGGCCCTATTGCGCTAGGCGTCCGTCCCCATTACCTGAGCTCCAGGTCTTCGAACAGGCCGCTGCTCGTGCTCCAAACGCCGCCCTCTTCGATACGAGGAGCTGCAGCTGTTCCATATCGCGCAGGTGCTGTTAGCCTATACGCACGTGGTACTGGGCCGGGAACAGCGCGGCCAACAGCTGGTCTCCGCTCTGATGCAGAAGGCCAAGACGGAGGGGTCGGACGCCCTCTTCTGGGAGGGCGATCGCCGCTCCATCTGTGAGTGACACCTTCCGACAGAAAGGTCACCGCAACTGCGTCCGTCTTACTGAAATGGTACTTTAAATTAGATAAGATGCGTCTCTCATCGAAATGGTGCGATGTATTAAGAGCAATAACAATTGTGTGAGTGATGCGGGTCATCTTGAAAAGATTAAACCAGTGACGTCATACGGAATTGCGGCTACATCTTCGTCTGTCAATGACGTCATTCTCCATGACGATAGCGGCAATTCAGTTTGTGTGTAATACCACGCTGGAGGAGTGCGGCGTCAGATGTCAGATGAAAGGCCAATTATATTTCCGTACATACGCGACGCCATTCTCTGCAGGCAGCAACTGACCCATGTGTGAGTGGTGACATCTGGTAGGCGTCCAGGACTACTCAAACCATCTGGTGGGCGTCCCTGACCAATGACGTCATCCTGCGTAATTTGGTCAACGACGTCAGGCATTCCTGATTAGTGACTCCATCTGAACCTGCCATTTTACCCTAGAGTAGCGTCTAACTTTTGTGATGGCGGGTGACGACAGCATGAACTGTGTGTCTTGTCATTCGAGCATTGGAGAAGGCGGCGGAAACGTCATTCATTACACGGCGGGAAGAATGACAGCCTCATTTTGTGAGTGACACCATCTTCGAGTTTGTTGGGAATTGACCATGACCGGCTTTGATTCCATCCGGCAATACACATTGGGTTGATGGCACGTATGGTGCTCTCCCTGGTCCACAGACGGCGGCAGTCGGGCCGTGGACATTGAGATGACGGCATACATGGTGCTCTCCCTGGTCCACCTCTCGGGTCAGGAGAACATGGAGCAGGCGGCGCGGGCCGTCAAGTGGATCAACAGGCAGCGCAACAGTCTGGGCGGCTGCATCTCCATACAGGTAGACCGTGGATTCCTGCGGTTGTGAGTACTTGTGGAGGTGGTCTAACAGATTAATTGGTCTGGCGGAAATTTTACCAGTGGTTCGTTGATATAAGCATATGACCATAAAAAGGCGGAGGCTGGTGACACCTGACCAGCTGAGCATTGCTGTAATAAGTATGTGTCACCACAGAGCACAACAGTAGATTGGCAGGCTGGTGACGTCTAGCCATGGTCCCTCCCCTCTCCAACATCGACTGATGATTACTTTGAAAGTGCTGAATTTGAGAACAGGACCAGCTGTTGTCGTTACAACGCAGATGATTTAGAACGTTTCAACCGACAGCAAAAGACCGCAGCATCGCTATGATTTTGACGACTTGTCTTTTCTGGTTTATAGGACACGATTGTGGCGATGCAGGCGCTGACAGAGTTTGGCAAACGCACTTTTTCTTCGGAGATGTCCACTAGCGTTACAGTCAGTGCTGCCGGACCCCCCTCCACACTTGTGGTGGACTCGTCCAACCGTCTGCTACTGCAACAAGAAAAGGTGGCAGATTTTAAGGTACGTGGCTGCGGTAAGCGTGTGGTGCTAGCCGATTTCAGTCGGCGGGTGTTCGCTTAACTTGAACGATAACTGCGAATGTAGCTTACCAGATGAAAAATGGAACACAAAATATATTAAACTCTTTCCTCAGTGCGGCTCTTTGAGTTCAAACTCTTGCGCCTGACTCAAGCAGACGATCACCTTGCTGCTAATAGCACCCTTCATTGATTTTGTTTAAACATGTGGTCATTTCGTTGATGAGGATGCTAAAGCTGAAGCTATTTTCTATCCCAGACGACGTTCCCCATGTAGGAGCTGGTCTCTGCAGTCAACAGAGGCACTTCTGATGACTGCACGGGCCATCAGAAGTTCCAGGAGCCAGGAACTTCGCTGTGTTCATCCGGCCACGCCCATGCTTCTTCCGCTTCCACTCCCACCTCTCCCTAAGGCCGTCATCTTGCCCGCAGCTGCCAGCTGAGGTCACCTTCACCGTCAGTCCAGCCGGCTGCGTCATCTGCCGCACCAGCTTCCGCTACTCCAGCCGCTCCCGAGTATGTAGCATGGTTATGAACCACGACCTGTCAGCTATACCTGCCGTGTCATGTCTGATGGGACGGTTCCGTTCTCACGATTGCCAACGGAAAACGGGGGTCGGCTCCAACAATAAGCTTAAGAAATTGTGTTGGCGCTCTGCTCCAAATGGCGTTTGTACCTTAGAGCACATTTGCTGGCAAAATATGTTCGCAGTACATTTCACTTTCTATCCCAGATAACTTGATCTGGTGTTTGTTGCGGGTGGTTTCTCAGGCTGTACGTGTACGGTGCGCAGCACTGGTCTGCGTTGAAAAACTACATGTGGCTACGGTCAGGTGCTCAAATGCTTATACAATTATTACCGACTTTTAGGCTGCGTTGAAAAGCGAACGGTCGCGCAACCATGCATACTATTAATTTTGGGCAAGTTCTCATTCATGAACAGGTGACGTGGATTGCTTCACCTGGCTTTGGTGAGCCGATGCTAACCCCAAAGCCACCGTGCCCAGTTGCCGAAGCCAGCATTCTCGCTGGCGGTGACCTCGGAGGCTCGTCCCAGCCGCTCTCCAGGCGGTTCGTATGAGCTGGAGGTGTGCTCCGCTTACATCGGGGACTCTGGCGAATCGGAGCGCGTCATGCTGGAGGTGGAAATGCCCTCGGGCTATTTCACCATCAGCAGCACACTGAGAAGTCTCCGAAAAAGCGGCGGTAAGTGGAGAGTAGCCTCCGAACCAGCGACGGTAAGTGGAGAGTAGCCTCCGAACCAGCGGCGGTAAGTGGGGAGCAGCCTACGAACCAGCGACGGTAAGTGGGGAGCAGCCTCCGAAACAGCGGCGGTAAGTGGAGAGTAGCCTCCGAACCAGCGACGGTAAGTGGGGAGCAGCCTACGAAACAGCGGCGGTAAGTGGAGAATAGCCTCCGAACCAGCGACGGTAAGTGGAAAGTAGCCTCCGAAACGGCGAGGAATGTTCTTCAAAACAACGAACGTTTCGAGTCCGAGACAAAGGCTCTAAACAGTGGGGGTAGCGAGTGATAGTTGAAGGGGAGAGGGAGAGAGCGATATCGAGAGACATTTGGGGGGGGGGGGGGAGGGGAGAGCGATAGTTGGAGGACTCCTGCAAGTGTCTGTGAATAGAGTAAGATCACCAACAGTAAAGTCAAGGACTGCAAAGCCTCTCCGACTCAGCAAGCGAACAAGTCGTGAAAATGGCTGCGACATATGCGTCGAGAGAGGGCGCTGCACCTGTCTGCCACGTATTTCGCAATTTTGTTTTTGTCACTTCTGACTACGTGGTTCGTACTGCATCCACGGTAATTTCGTCTGCAATAGCACCAACACAAACCGTTGCAGAACTCTTTTGTCATAATAGCCCCGAGGCCTACACAAAGCAGGTGTCATAGGCACCTGGAGGAGATGTTGCGCCTCCCTGCGTATATGCATTTCTGCAAGTGTCTGTGAAACTACCATGCTATGTTTTGTTTGGTCATTACCCGCTTCACGAATGGCTGATGATGATGTTGATGACGATTCTTACCAACCCCCACTCTCTCCATCTACAGCGGTACGCAGATACGACTTCAGCAAGGGTAAGGTGACCTTCACGCTGTCCAAGGTCACCGAGGAGAAGGTCTGCCTCAAGTTCCGCATCATTCGAGAGAACGAGGTGGATGGCCTGAAGCCGTCGGTGGTGCGAGTCTACGACCTCTTCAGGCCTGAGGATCGCAATATTCTGGTGAGGGGTGTATGCCAGCCTTGCCGTGAATCACGAGGTTTGGTTTCGATCCCAGCGCTAGGAAGCTGTCCATTGCTCCCGCTCCGTCAGGAGAGACGTCGCCGCGGAGCTGAGCATCCAGTGAGTCCCAAAACAGCGAGCAACGACGCTGGTACTGTGTGCGGTGGACAGCACGTGGTGTATTTCCTGGCCGGAAGAACACGATATGACGGTGAAAACAGACACCGAGGACCAGTGGAGCTTGCTTTCACGTTGACCCAGTGCCCAAAGTGCTTTGTCGTCTGCTATGTAGACCCGGTGTCACCTCAAAACCTGTTAATAACATAGAAAAAAAATAACCGTTTTCTGTTCGGTGCTCGAAAATGTACTTAAAAAGGGACGCAACACGTGACGTCACGCGCCCTTTGATGCACCGCCAGCGACTGCGAAGCCCCTGCAGCTTGTGAATAATATTACTCGACATCTGTAAAACTCAACCCCCGTACACGGATACTTATAGCTGCAGCCTGTGCATGACTGTTTTGGTGAGTGAGCGGGTGATGTGTTTACAGTTGTGTGACTTCACGTCATGCCTATGACGTCACGTCTCTGTTTCAGGAGTACGAGCTCTCGCCCGTGTCTTCTCCCGCCGCTTGATACTTATGTTGAAGACCGGTGTGTGCCTCTCACGGATCATGACTGGAAGACACGTGACATGACATGTCATGTCAAGAGGACGCCTACGCTCTGTGATTCGATCGCAGACATGCAGCTTAAGCCGGAATATTTTGGTATTACAAATCTGACTGCCAGCATTCTAGATCAGCATACGAAAGATCGCTTTTAACCAATGACTGCAAATGTGCTGCGAAATATGTTTTCAGGCACACCGACTCCCTGCTGTGTCGCTTTGCCGTTTCCCTGAGTGCGAGCGATGACCCTGAATATTGAGTAACTTTTGTCCGATGTTTGCAACTGTGTATGAACGTTTGTTGCGGCACCGCCAATTTAAAATGCGAGGGAAATACACTGGGCTGCTTTAAATGTTCGGTCTTTCTTTTATATTCTGCCTAGCGCATGTGCATTGTATTCCACCATTAAGTGCCCTTACACTTGATTTGTTTTCCAACCCTTTGGAAAAGTGAAAATACACTAGAGCAAACGTGCCAGTCATTCCTTGTCAAACGGTATTCCCATCTTCGAGATCGCTGGGTCATGTATAACACTTTACCTGCGGGTTTGTAAGAAAGGCTTACAACGTGAGCCGGTTCGAACCTGACATTTAATGTGACAGCATGGCATCGATAATCTCATATAGGCGATTATTTTGATGACACAGCTCTTGCTGCAGAGGTATTTATTTAGACGTGTAGCAGCTATTCCATTAAAGGAGCCATAAATCATAATTGCCCGCTCAAAATACATAGAAATATACACCTTTGTACTCAGAATTGAACAAGGCACACGCCTGGCTGGGGCTGGTGTTGCTGCATGCTATGGTCTGGTATGTATGATATGGTACACCTAACAAGTGCGATGTTATGGAAAACTTGGCCTTTGGCCAGTCATAGTGGGTTTAATGATTGACCTAACAACATAAACAAGAACCAGTCATGAGATCTTCTTAAAGAAAATCCACTTGTTTTTGCCATGCTCTATCTTTATTAGTTTGGAAATGCCAGGAGGAGCGGTCACCTTGACCCCCCCCCCCCCCCCGCCCTCAGCTTGCGTTATGAAAACGGCGAATCAGGGCGACGATTAGCCCGGCGATAACCGAAGAGAGGGGAAGCGGAGAAAATCTGCTCCCTTCCTGTCGAGCTCGGGCGATAGCTCAAAAACGTGCCAAAATATCAAGTAAAGAAGTGTGACAGCTGTTAGTTGATCAATCATATCCCTTTTACCGAAATAGCAAGCATGGGGTCAAGATAAATTAGGCGTCAGTAAGGTCAGAGGGACGTTATGACCCCGACTTTCCGTGAAAGCGCATAGCCGTGAACAGACATATATTAACAGAACAAAAGAAGGCTGGAAGAGCGTTATTGCTTCAAATGCATAGAAGCGCATGTTTTCCCGTGCCCAGGTGGGTCCCGTCCTGGGGATCCGGCGAAACGGCTGACGGGACGGACGGCGAGCCAGGACCGGGTGCCGGAGACGAGGACGTCTGAGGACGGCAGCGTCACGCTCGGTGCTGGCGAGCCAGAGAGGACCTGAGATCGAACAGGTCACATTGGAGTTAGTAAACAGATGATACAGTCAGCATTTGCATCATCCAAAAATAGTGCGTATACCGATTACCGCCCAC